CCCACGGACGTCTTTCACGAATGCTGGCGACGGGGTTGCTCAAACTTGTGTTATTGGAGTGGCAATCACTAGAAGCTCTTTCTGGCCTTCTGCTGCGTTGCATTCACATCTTACACTTCTACTCCATCCTATTGTGCATCGATCGATATGTCTCCAATCTCCGAAAATCGCGCGCTTTAACCCGATTCTCCATTGCGTCGCCTGGTACGTAGCCGGCCAAACGCCGTCTTCTTTCCATGCTGCGCTGGCTCTGCCTCCTGTCTTCGGTGGTCCATACCGTGTAGTTTTTGTACGTTTGTATCTCTTTCAGAACCGAATCTTCATGCGTGAAACTTTGTGTGCTATTTCCCCAGTGATCACCAACTGACATATTCATGTTAGGAAAGCGTGCAAGAATTGTCCGCGCAAGATTCCTTTAAGTAATTGGCGAGAATTACGCAGTTCCGGAAGTACAACAATTCCTCCTATCATTTTTGAGACTGGGACTAATAGTTGCTAGTGGAAAAGAACTGCCCATGATGCGGTAGGAGTATCCTTCGTAAATCTACCACTGCGGTTTTGCGAAAATTTCAAAAGCTGACCTGGAAAGTCAGATTGTTGTGGCTCAAGTTTCCCCATTGTGGGCACTTCCTTTTGGTCAGAATTTTGAACATGTACAAGGGTGCTCAAACTAATTGAGTTGAGCACCCTTCCACAGCCTACCGTTTGGGTACATCTTGAAATCAATCCAGACTAACAGGATTTGCTGCATCGACTCAATTGCTCAGGGTCTTTTTATATTTCCCGGATGCGGGCGCTCAAATAAACGCTTCGACTCCAAGTTACTGCACAATGCCTGAAATTAGTTTCTGGAAACGTATTATATGCAAGAACTACAATCATCATATGCAATTTGCGGCTCGGCACCGCTCGGATCGGCAAGAGAGAAACACGAGGAAGTGTCCAGATGAGGATCGGGTGAAAATCTGAACTACGTACACCTATCGCTGCCGGCCAACACCCTTTCAATGTTCTTGTATGAGGTTGTCACCGTAGCGCATTGCCTGAACCGTACCTTAGGGTACTTTTGAATGTTTCCAAAAAAGTTCACTAAATTTTTCTGCTCTATTTGGCATGGCCCATGACAGAAACCGTGATTCTCAAGAGTAAATTTTGAATAGTCATAGACAAGCGTCCAAAAACGTCACAGCTGAGTGCTGACCTGGTCTCCTCACTGCCCGCGAAACTGAGGCCACGCAGGCCACATACCTTCGCTTTCAGCTTTGAATGGTGAAGAATAATAAGCCTATTTTCTGGACTGAACTACGTACCCTCTATTTCAGAAAACAAGAAGAGCGTCGAGTGCAGACCACCACCAAAGTGACGATGGTCAAGAAAAGTGAAAAGAAAAAGCTGCGTTATTTTCTGCCGTCGTCACTTGTAGTGTGTGATCTGCACTAGACGTGCTTCTCGTTTTCTGAAATAGAAGGTACGTAGTTTTAGTCCAGAGAATAGGCCTATTATTCTTCAGCATCCTAGGCTGAAAACGACTACGGGTTAACTTGTCGAAACTGTGGACTTTTAAGGGACGTTGATTGAAAAACCTAGAATCTCTTAGCTGTATCACGAAGATTCGAAACTATTATTAAGACGTTACAGCCATTGCATAAATCGCAGGGTAAGTGGCCTGGAAGAATTTTAGCCTAGATTCAGAGGGTGTACTCCTGAGTGCGAGAAATATGGTAGTTCCTTAATCCTCGTAGGCGAAACAAATTCATGGAAACTTGAAATCCTGGATTCTCTGTATGACGTCAAAAAAGTGTTAAGGACATCTCTGCATTGGTGGAACGTACATTATGATATATAGAGGAAATCTCACATTTCGGGAGCCCGTGACCTCCGATTACCAAGCCCATGTTCAGGAGGTTTCACTCCGAGCTCCATTGCAAGAGTTGAAATGGCTCAAACCCGTCCCTATTTCTTATATTTATCGGTCCCTACTTTCAAAGATGGAAGACAGGAAATTAACGGAAATTCAAAATGTAACTGCTCTCTACACGCCAATACCCAAGATTACTGAAGGGTTCAAGAAAATTCAGGAAAAAAAACCAATGACTAATCATCGAAGAAAGACGTCAGACACGGACAATACGATAAAATATGTGATAATGAAAGGTGGAAATATAATAATCAGAAGATTCTTTTCTCAGAAATAGTAAATGCGTTATATTCGCTGTACTTACTCACTTATCCCAGTAAATATTGATTTATTCAGAATTCCCGCAACTAAATATTCTTCATTATTCTGGTACCGGCGAAGATAGCGCAGTGGGTAAGGACGACAAATTGCACCCGCAAAATCTGTGGGATGGGTTTTTTGCTAAAGAGTACCACACTTTTCACTATAATAAAATAGTGAATTTCTTTCATTATTTTCAAAATGCATAAAAGAACGCCTTGGAAATGGTCCTCTAATTCCCTTGTTTGAATCCATGAGTTTTTAAGTAATCGGTGAAAATGTAGTACGAGCGGCCACCCTATCTAATCGAGGTGAAGTCGCTCAAAGACACCCTTATTTTATCAAGCATTATATTTCATTCACCGAGACCGTGGCCCACGACAAGTACTTCCCACCGGGGTCAACCCTACGCTGGGAGTACCAAGGCGGGGGGGGGTCGTAGTTGGTTGAATTTGTTTGTGTGTGTGGGGGGAGGTCGTACTTGTTTTGGTAGCACGAAATGACAGGCAATGAGGTGAGAGCGCAGAATTTGCAGATTCATCGTGCGTATACTTCCCCCCACCTCAACTTATCAGAAAATGTGGCAGTGGAAATATAGGTGAAATAGAGGGAATATAGGAAAGGGTGATTTTTGCGGTTTCATGGTAATTATATACTCCCACCCCCTCTCGACGGTGTTTTTATTTTGAGGGAAAAAGAAGATGTGAGAAGGGGTCGTATGAAATCTCTTATGAAGGAGGGGGATTGTAAAAAAAATTTGAAATACAGGGTGCGCCAAAATTACGGAGACAGCGATTTCGAGTCGCCTAGAATGAACCACGCCACTATTCCAGGAAGCCAAAAATGCAGTAACGTTCACTGTTCAATAATAAATCGTAAACATCTGCCAAATCTCAGAAATTCCTTCGTTGGCACTTATACGGGCCTTGAGAAGCAATGAGGAACCATCGGCGGTAGCACGCAAGGTTGTGCGTGGAATCCGTTTTACGTATTCTGAAGCAATTCTTCAAAATAATCTCCAAAAATGTAAAGTCCGTGCAAGTTTCAGCTTGCCGATGCCGAAGTGTAAGCCATTTATATAGCATCTGAAATGCTGACCAACTCGTTAAGAGTGATGAATTCGACAAAATTGGCTCTGACCCAGTTCAGCACCACCCTTGCCCTATGGAAATCCCTTCCTTATGAAAGATCAAACAATGTTTTTCAAATCTTAGGATGGCAATTTGCTTGGGAATTCTCAAGTAATCTCCTTAATGTCCATCTCTCGTGACATTCGGCGGAACGAGCGCGCGAAGTGCCACCAAATTCTGTTGCGCACCATGCTGACATTGCTCGTGGCCGTCTCGGAAACACAGCCTTCCCATCCAGAATGAGTGCATTCGGTTCCTTACTCCTTGGAGCGTTTAGTGGATCCATGATTGGTACCCAGGTAAAAACCAAAACGCTGATAATTCTTGCGTGCCGCAAACACTCAAAGTTGAAGTTCAGTGATCTAGAAATAGCGACAGAATCATTCAGCCATCGTAACAGTCGTACATATTAGTGGTCAAACAAGATAATTATGAACAGATCAACACAACTAAACCAAAATGGCGCAGCAGTAAACAGCATCTTTGAATTGTGGTCCCAATAGTACACCGAAGTGCTGTCTCCGTAATTTTGGCGCACACTGTAGTTCCAACGATAGGACCGACCCTGCTTCACACTCGTTTTCCTTGTCGTATATCTATGGCGAGAATGGCCTATCTTACTGACGCTTCATTTTCATCCAATCTTCTTGCGATCAATCTTCTTGCGATCGTCACGGAAGCCCTCGAAGAAAAAGCCTTTCAGGTATGTGATTTTGTACGGAATTTCGGGTTGCAATCCATACCTAATCTAACATTCAGAGTCTGAATGTTGATTGGATATGACCGCCCTATAGCACCGCTTTGATTGGACAAGAGTACCCCCCCCCACCTACACTTTCACCTGAATAATCATACACTCCTGATCTTGCTCTCATCTATCTGCAATCCGTTAGAACTACCCAATGTAAAGAGTTTATAAACTCGACTTCCATTCTTGAATCCTCCAGTGAATAGGGCTGCTTCATCACTAGAACTCTCCAAGATTATAAGGTCGTCCTGACGAATGTTATGGGAGTTTTTGTCGAGGAGTAGCACACGCACGATGGCTTCATTCCTATCGATAGAGGTGTTTTCCGCCGTCGGCGAACCCTCAGAGATTCCCCGTAACGATCACAGAGTTCAGCCAGGAGCTGCAGACCATATCATCAATCTGCTCAGGTTAGCCAGGAATGTCTCACCTACTGCATGCTGTGCAGGGATGGAAGAATTGCGCCCTAAGTTAGAATCGTCTAGTTAAGCCCTTTCAACGACAACATCAGTCATTGGGCCCGAAATCATAACACAACGTGCTTACGAGTAGACCTTTACTTCAGCTACCACTACCAGGAAAACCTCTTTGAGCGTTGTTTCAGTGCAATGAAGCGTTAGCGAATTCCGCGCAGTTGATGGGTGGCTACATGTGCGCCCCGAGCGTCTATATGTACTTATCACGTAATTACCCGTGGACCATCGCCGAGGGAATTTCATATGTTGATGACGTCAGAATTGAGCCCATTCCACCTCGTCCACTTCTTTTCCGAAATGAACACCCTATCCACGATGTGGCAATCTAAACATCTGAAAATCTCATCGAGTTTTCTCCGATCCAGAAAAATTGCCTATGGACAAGCTATTGGCCGTCCACTTATTCGGCTACTTTGATGTAATAGCTCTCATTTATTTCTTCTAGCAATCCGGCTATTATTCAATGATAGGACCAAGAGAAATGTAAAAGGAAGAGTAACAAGGACCAAAATGTGCAGAAGGACATAAGCAAATGAAGTGCCAGCGCTGTGCTTCGTAAACAGCGTTGTTCCTTGTTTCTGGAAACAAAAGTTACAAAAGAATAACTTGTTAAAACATGGATGATGGCTGGGCTGGGGGACAGGCAAACAACGCGGATAACATCAGAAGCGCTCAGAAGGAAGCTAAAAATGACGCTCCGTCTCTGAGGCAAGCGATATGAAAAACGCTGATATTTATTGTAAATTTAGAATATGATTGTTCCTTACGTCACTTTTCATAGTATGACAAGTATGTCATATGTCAAGGCAGCATCTGGAACCAGAGGAGGGCCTGAGAAGATTTCATATGCAACGCCAAGAACTAACGTGAGGCTCTATAGCTTCACCTGTTGTGCGGAGTCTATAGCCTATAGGCTTCTCTTATATCTAATGTGGCACTCGTAAGGAAAGTTTTTTGTACTGTTGCTCATTTATCGTTGTTCCCCACAAATGCCTTATGCGTCGTTTCAAATGAATGAATAATTAAATAGCTACGGCTTTACTTAATTCACAGTTTTCGGCTATCTTACTGGCGCTGGTGCGCTGTTAAGCGTAAGGAATAAACAGTAGCGCGCTGTTGAGCGTAAGGAATAAATAAATATATAAATAAATTAGAGTGGAAGTTGAAAAACGAGAAAATAGTTGAGAAATGGAGCCTGAGCCTTACCTGCAGAAGATGTTTTCGTAGCGTGTCATTAATTGGAACGCACTCGTCCTCAGCCCTGGGTTTATGGGAGCTCCGTAATCGGTTACCGAATGATCGTGCAGATTCAGCGCCTAGAAACGGAGCGAAAGATTCGGGCTACGAAATAGAAGGTGGGGAAAATTTCCTAAACACCCGCTCAAAATTCTATTCTAAAAATTCAAAATTTATACATATTTTGATACACAGTAACTACCGTAGCCGTGGTGCAAATTTGAAAGCTGCGAAATAGAAAATTCTAATAATCAATACTGTATGAAAAAGCAACGAAATTTCAAATTTTTGCGGGTTTAAGAGAACTGTTTCCTCAATAGTGTCGTGTAAGCTTTTCGATCTCAAAGATTAATGAACAATTAAATTACTAGGGTAGATTTACCATCATCAGGTAGGTCAAAGTTAGATGTTCCGATGTCGACAGTTCGAGGTTCATGGGCCCTCTGAGCAGCTGTGTAGTTGAAATGTGGGTCAGGACCAAGTTCACCCACATGTCCTAACCGAGCGTGTGACGTCCGTGCAATATTGGCCAGACGATCATTGTCGGATGCGGAAAGATCTGGCAGTAGCAGTACAATACGTGCCAGATACGATATGATCATCGTTTTGGGCTGCAGATTGTTTGTTTCTTGATGTAGACACACACGTACATATAAAACGCAGAAATAAACTGGATAAACAGCAACAGCAGTGGCAGTACTGCAGTCAGTTAATGTCTGTCTAAGCAGACATGTCAGCAATAAGCATTTGTAATTTTCAGGAAGAGTCGGTTTGTGAGTATAGAGAGCGGTACACTATTGATAATGAGGTGTCACGGGCAGAGAGGCGGGATCTCCAACGGCGGCGCCCCATGGATATGCCGCGCACTGCCCCCAGCCCAACTCACTTCCAGTTCCTCCTACCCCTCCAGTTGGTCCATGAACAAATAAGCTGAACACACCACGGTGTGGATAGGATAATAGCAGCCCTGGCAGAAGAAAATTATAGAGTAAAATAACATTTTAGCCTTCATTGGCGTAGCTCCACAATAAACGACTCCACTTCAGCCTGTTTCGAAAATTTCCCTCTGGATAAGGACGGAATTTCCAGTACATCAGGTGCCAGTAAAGAGCCAGCGGCCAAGACCAGCCTGATTGCCGTTTTTCACGATGGGAATTCTTCTGAAGTAGACAGCAAGCTTCAGAAATGTTCTATTCGATTGGAAAATTGCAAAGACCACTTTTAACTACCGCCCTGCCTTGAAGCGCCGTTTTGGATGGGCTAGCGCGAAACCTCCTTAATTTTCCAATCTCCAGAAGTACTTGAGCACTTGACCATCGGAAGTTGCAATTTTTCAACATCTTGAGCATCAAACCCTCAAAATCTTCAGCATGGAACCTCTTTCTCGAGCAGATAGGTGCTAGCGCTTGAATGTGCTGCAACTTTGAATAGTGAACCAACAAAGACGAGTCAATGATAGCTTCAGGCTGCCATATGGTAATCTAAGCCGATTTCATTCCAATTTCCTCAATAAACTTTTTAAGTTTCCCATCAAAAAACCCAGCAAAAAAGGTAGCCATTGATGTGAGCACTTCCTGAAAAATACTTTCCATAGGATTTGCTCTCCTCAAACTCGACTGACTCTTCCAGAAAAGAAGGCTCATTAATCAGAGCCTAGGGGCTTTTATGTTTTTTTTTCTTCCTCCTGCCGGCAATACGCGGTGAGCTAAGTAGCTCACTGCCATGGCAGCTGTATGCAAATCCAGATAGATTTGCGACGGTTATAATTCCACCAGGGTAGGCCAGCGCTAAAACTGGCGCTCTTATATCTTTCCGCATTGGCATTTAAAAAAGAAATGTCATCATACCTTAACCATTCCTTTCTCTGGCTGCGCCACGCACACCGCTCCCACTTGGAATCGTAGAGACATTTTGAACGCGATTTGGCCTTCGCGTTGACTTGAGGGGGCAGCCGATGTATAAGTCTGTGTTTAATATTCCTAGCCTTCGTATTATCATTCTACACATATTCGTGCATTTCAAGACTGTTCCAGTTGGCCACATACTGAAACGGGGAAATAGTCAAACCTTTCAGAGTAAGCCACGCATCCATACTCAAAACACTTTTTTTTGAAACTTTTGTAGAGTTTTGCAAACTGATAATGACTTTGCCCCTTCTATCTTTACACAGTTAGAGAAAAAAACCAATAATCAAGAGGTAAGGCCAGGTTAGCCTGGACAGCTTCCGATCCAAGGTAATGCCATGCATCAAAAAAGGGTGTCCACAACATTCGCTACCTTACTGTACTAAAATTGGTCTCAGATGTTTCAGGTATCTTCCGTGAACTTTGGCTTTCATTTGAAAGGTTATCAAATCGAAGAGTGAAAAAAAATCTTTCGAAATCCAATAATGAGCACAGGGACCCAGTAAACATGTGTATGTGTGGAGGAATTCCTTACTAGTAAATCGATACCGGGGTTTCCGTAAGTAGAAAACCACTGAAACTTCAGCGAAACTCCTCTCTGGTAACTTGTCATTTAAGGAGAGAGAAATTAGACTTCTTAGTGGCGTTTTTGGGTAAGCGAGGTATCGCTGCTCCTTTTCACCATTAGATGTACATGTGTACTTCTGGTCAGAAAATATGAACTTATTTGATCTCGAACGGCTTCTTTGGTCAGCACTTCATCAGTTTGTTTTTCGAGTGTACTGCAGCATCGGAACCATCACAGACAGACAATTACTCCTGACGTAAACATCGCAAATCGAAAACAAAATGTAGCATGGCCATGGGACGCCTGAATGAGCAGCTATATCTTGCAATAACATTACTACAACAGTTTGAAAAGATAACTAATCACGTGGCGCATCCTGTATTGATTACCTCTCCTGCTTTGCGCCTTTCCACAATTGCATGTGGAATCTATTTTCCACCTCAAATTAGCCAGCCCCACAGCCAATTCAATCCTATGCGTTTCTTAATTGATATCAGTCTCGTCTGAGTGGACACAACCTGTGACCAAAACATTGGCTTTTTCGGGGAAGGCACGTCTCAAAGGCACGCTGGAATGCTAAGGCTCGAAATTATGTACGAAATTCGAATACGTGGCGCATCCGGAAACAATATCGTAAACTAAAAAAAGAGCCATATTATTGGCTTCGCAGGTTTAAACATGGCATTTACCGCTCATTAGACTGGCAGTGTAGGACGCGCGGATAATAGGGACCAATTTGTTCCAAAAAAACGAGGAGAAACCGGGGTCGAATGAGTTCGACATTGATTTCTCAGGCCTGGTGTCGCACTAATCGTATTATGCTTCTTATAGGGTCCTGTTCCGCTACGGCTGTGCGGCTTTATTGTGGGTTGCAATAGATCCTTTACTGTTTTGGACACTACTGCAGAACGGATCGGAGATCATTTTGGAATTGAAAATTTATGAGCGCGACGATCGACGTTAACAAGATAGTTGCGAGGTGTCCGCGGCCACGGCACCCCGTCACATTTGCTGACAACCAAATTGCATAGTGGAAGGGATTGGCGACGGAATATATTTGCTATGTTCAGGGAATGATGAGAGGTTTTTTTGGTTCGCGATCGTGTAGAGAGTCGTCAGCTTACGTTGCTATATTGTGTAATATCTCTACTCGCTTCACTGTCTCTCGTCGTACCAAGTTCACACAAAATTTGGGCTTTCAATTTCAATATTTTATGGGGTTCTTGGTTTTTTCTAACCAGCGATCCTCTTCTATCTTTGTTTCTTTTCTGAGTGAAAAAACCACAGATTCGATCGCTGGCAAGGCTTTTGAATTGCTCTGCATAATGTCGATGCGACAATTGATGTCCTCTTCTTATTCTCTTCTTCTCCCTAGCGTTAGTCCCGCGCAGTCGCACAGACCGCTGTCCTTGTCAGCTGTCGCCAAGTTGTTCTATCCAGAGCAACTTCTGCTGTGACTCCGACTTCAGTGAGGTCCTCCTTGATGATGTCCTCGCGGCCGCTTGCCTTGTGCTTCAAAGTCCATTGCTGTTCTTATCGGGCGATCCTGTGGCCTCCTTAGCACGGGCCCATACCATCGCAGTCGTTGTTCCCTCACCTTCAGCTGGACAGGGGCAGTCTTCATGATCGCTCCGACATCCTCGTCCCTGACCCTGTCTGATCGCGTCCAGCTGCAGCCCCATCTCAGTATCATCATCTCAGCGGAGTGAAGCTGCCTTACGTGATTCTTGTTCAAGGCCCAGCACTCGCTGCCGTAGAGCATCGCAGACCTTACCACTGTCCGGTACACCTTCCCTTCTGAAGCACCTTTCGCGAAGGATCCCTGCGGATTCTCTTCACTTCATCCAGGCCGCGTTGATGGATTCTCTCCACTTCATCCAGGCCGCGTTGATTCTGCCTTCACTTTCTGATCAACACTTCCGTTAGCAGCTAGATCGCTCCCAAGATATCGGAAGTCCTTCACCCTTTCAATGCATTCCCCACTCCCATCCACAATTAGCTGTACCCTCTTCAGAGCTCAGGAACTTGGTCTTCTTGACATTCGGGAGGGGCCCGCTTTCTGCCATGACTTTCTGCCATTACTGCACTTTGGCCTGTGGTTCTTCTCTGGTATCCATCGTCAGCGTAGAGGATGGTCTTCAGTGGCCCTTCCATGAGTCCCTTCGCCATGGCATCTAGCGTTAGAAGGAACAGAAAGGGGCTTAGAACTGATCCTTAGTGCACTCCACCTGTGCGTCTACCACCTTTGTCAGGCCTTGCCGGGTTCATATAGTTGGCTCCGTACCTATCCCTCACCAGAGAGATGACGTGATCTGGCACGTTTCATTCTGGCATGCTCATGTCTTCTTCACAGAAGCCTGCTACTTCCGATCTTGACAGAAAGAAATGTTAGTTTTTATGTGTACTAATCCTACCTGTTGAGGTGATCTGATGTGCCAATTTCCCCTCCTCTCCCTCCTTTCCCTTGAGTTTGTACAACGGACGGTTGACCCTGGCGCAATCCTAACCAACTTCTGGGACTACTGGAGCGAAGCCCATAGTTACAATTCTCCTTGTTCTCCTTTTTACGCCAAATCATCCATAGAGTTCTCTGTATCTAACAAATGTAAAAAGCATGAAGCTCTCAGCGTTAGTGTACCTTTCGGAATACCCCACGCATTCTTTGTGCTTCCAATCCGGAGTGCGGCTTTTTGAATGAGATTCACCCTTTACAACTGTTTGTGGAGGTCGGCGCTCATACAAATCATTGTTTTATCCCTTCAAGCAAGCCTGACACCGATCAACCGAATCTGGAAGGGATGGAGGAGTAGATTGGCCTGAGCCACGTACGATCCGGGATTTGATCCCATGAGCGTCCTCTGCAGCGCTACTTGTCACTACACCACTCTTGCAATGAACCTATCAAGAATACAAAAATTTGCCTAAAATGCACTAGTAAGCCGTCAATCGCGAAAGGTGGATATTTTGAGATGGCCACAAGTTCGAGGCCAGGCACGTCCGGGATTAGACAGCTGTTCCATCTATGAGGTGAGATAGGCTGACATAACGCGCCCTTTTGCGGCGTGAAAGTACACGGCAAAGGTGCTAGAACTCGCTTGACCCACAATCCACACCTTTATCCGCAAGCCCC